TGACTGCCCCCCCAGGACCCCTGCCCCATCCAACCACCTCTTCTCCCTGACCGCCCCCAGACCCCTCGCCCCTAACTGCCCCTGCCCCTAACTGCCCCCCACCACCCCATTCAACCCCCCCCTCCTTCCTGACTGCCTTCCTGGGACCCCGCCCCCATTCAACCCCCGTTCCCCGCCCTCTGAGCACCCTGCCCCCATCCACGCCCCTGACCACTCTTTGAAGTCCCCTGCCCTCTATCCAACTCCGCCCCTGCTCCCTGCCCCCTTACCGCGCTGCCTGGAGCACCGGTGGCTGGGGGCGCGGCTGCACCAGGACAGGCAGCCGTGCTGCACAACACAGAGCACCGGGTCAGGCCGGGCTCTGAAGCTCCGCCGCCCAGAGCATTGCGCCGTGTGGCAGCATGGCTGCGGGGGAGGAGGGAACAGCAAGGGAGGGGCCGGGGGCTAGCCTCCTGAGCCAGGAGCTTAGGGCCCGGGCAGGGCAGTCACACAGGCCGAATGAGGCCTGCAGGATGTAGTTTGCCCACCTCTGGTTTATCTCCATCTAGTGTTAGGTCCACATAGAAAATAGCCTTCTACTGCTACCAGATACTCCATGAACTCAAGTGGTAGAGATCTGTATTGCGTATCTAAAGATCCCAACCCTACTGGTGACCTATTTGGGGATTCAATATGGTTCTGCAGGATTAAATTTCTGTTTTTCAGTTTTTTTAAATTTAGGAAATTACAGTTAAAAAGATGTTAAAAGAATATTAAGGGTGCGAAGTCTAGCAACAAACAAGGTGGGGGTTTACAGACAAGTGTCCTTCATTACAGAACCCTGACTTATTCTGGAAGCACAGCCTGTCCTGTATATTGAATGAAGCAGGGGTCCTGTGGAAAAATGTAATTGTGTAATTAAAGACTGTATCATAATCCATATGCACAAGGGGGGCAAATTAAGGTTGCATGGGCAATCTAACTTTTGAGTGTTTGATTTTGCAATCTTAATTTTCTTTTAATGTTGTTTAATGTCATTCATATAGTGTCCACTTGAATTTGCCTACAACATAAGGTGTTTTGTGAGGATTCATTGTTTAGTACTTGTAAAATAGCTTTGTGATTCTAAGATGAAAATTGTTATATAATCTCAAAGTTATTCTTATTTATGAATAGTTGGACATCAATGCCTCGTCTTCAGTCAGCAGCAGACATATTTTTTTAACTCATGGACCATAGGCGCTACATACATTTCATAATGTTTTTTTGTAGTCTGTCCCCTTCCTGTCTTTCATGGTTTGCAAATTTATTTTTGTTTTATTGTTTTGGCAATTCCAATAGTGCTTACCTGTGGTTTGCCAGAATTGGTATTTCCTGAGTAACTAACTGATGAGTACTCTATATGGTACCTGCAAGCAACAGCAGAGAAAACCATATAAGTATAGTTTACAAATGAAACATGTTAAATAGTTTGTTGATTTCAGTTCCCATAACACTAATCTAGAAATACTGAGAAATGATGTTGAAAAGACTTAAGCAAAGTATTGTACATAATTTTTGAAGGTGACTTGAAAAGAAAAAAATGAGCCTTGTCCTTTTTCTCCCTCATGATGTACACATTGCTAAAGAGGAGTACAAAAGAATAGTGCAGGCATGTACTAACAAAATCAGAAAGTCTAAAGCACAAAATGAGTTAGAACTAGTAAGGGACATAAAAGGCAATCAGAAGAGGTTCTTTAAATACATTAGGAGTAAGAGAAAGATGAAGGAAAGTGTATGCTCTCAACTGAGTGGGGTAGGAGAGCTGATGGCATCAAGAAAGCTGATGTATTTAAGCCTATTTTGCTTCAGTATTCTCTGAAAGGTTAATGGTGTCCAGATACTGAACACGAGTAATATTAACAACAAAGCAGAAGGAATGCAAGCCAAAATAGGAAAAGAACAGGCTAAAGAATATTTAGATAAGTTAGATTTATTCAGATTGTCAGGGCTTGGTGAAATTCATCCTTGAGTATTTAAGGAATTAGGAGAAGCAATCTTGAACCATTAGCAATTATCTTTGAGAACTCCTGGAGGACAGGTGAGATCCCAAAAGACTAGAGAAGAAAAACACAGTACCTATCTTTATAAAGGGGGAATACACAGGATCTGGAGTATTATAGACCAGCCAGCCTAACACTGATACCTAGAAAAATACTGGAACAAATTATTAAACAATCAGTTTGTAAGCACCTGAAGGATAATAGAGTTATAAAGAGTAGCCAGCATGGATTTTGCAAGGACAGATCATGCCAAACCAACCTAATTTCCTTCTTTGACTGGATTACTGGCCTAGTGGATGTGGGGAAACAGAAGATGTGATAAATCTTGATTTTAGTAAGGCTTTTGACACAGTCCCACATGACATTCTCATAAGCAAACTAAGCAAATGTTGGTTAAATGAAATTACTATAAGGTGAGCCCGCAAGTGGTTGAAAGACTACCTGGAGTAGTTATCAGTAGTTCGCTGTCAAAAGTGGGATCCCACAGAGATCAGTCCTGAGTCTGGTATTGTTCAATATTTGCATTAATGACTTGTCTAATGGAGTGGAGAGTGTGTTTGTAAATGTTGTATATGACACTAAGTTGGGAGGGGTTGCAAGCACTTTGGAGGACAGGATTAGAATTCAAAATTACTTTGACAAATTGGAGAATTGGTCTGAAATCAACAAGATGAAATTTAATAAATACAATGCAGAATACTTCACTTGTGAAAAATCTAATGCACAACTACAAAATTGGGAATAAATGGCTCGGTGGTGGTATTGCTGAAAAGGATCTGGGGGTTATGAATATGACTCAGCAATGTGATGCAGCTGCAAAAAAGGCTAATATCATTATTGAGTGTATAAACAAGAGTGTTGTGTGTGGTAAATGTCCTGCTCTGCTCAGAATTTAACAGGCCTCACCTGGAGTACTCTGTCCAATTTTGGGCATCACACTTTAGGAAGGATGTGGACAAATTGGAGAGAGTCCAGAGGAAAGCAACAAAAATGATGAATGGTGTAGAAAATCTGACCTTTGGCGAAAGGTTAAAAAAACTGAGCGTGTTTAGTCTTGAGAAAGGAAGACTGAGAGGAGTAACAGTTTTCAAATATGTTAAGGGCTGTTACAAAGAGGATGTGATCAATTGTTCTCCAGGTCCATTGAAGGTTTGACAATAAGTAATAGGCTTAATATGCTCCACAGAAGATTTAGGTTGATAGTGGGGAAAACTTTCTAACTATACAGGTAGTTAAGCTCTGGAAATAGGTTTCCAAGGGAGGTTGTGGAATCCCATTATTGAAGGGTTTTAAAAACAGGTTGAGCAAACACCTGTCAGGGATGGTCTAGTTTAGGTGGGCCTGCCACAGCACAGGAGGCTGGAACTGATGACTTCATTAGGACTGGAAGGGACCTCTATTTCTGTGATTCTGTATATAAAGGGAAGTCTGAAAGGTGGGTTTATTTGGTTCTTTTACACACACTGCTGTTTTTGGTTTTTAACCTTAGGAAAATTAGGAGTGTCAAGTTTTTATTTTTTGAGGAGTTCTCATTGAAGGTCATCATGAGCTCTTTTAGCATTAAATTAAACAAATAAATTGTTGAATTTCTGTTGTTCAGAAAACATACTCCTTTTTGAGGGTAGGGGAATGCACAATTCAGCCTTTCTTTATATATCATAAAGAACAAAAAAGGCACATACCGAGTTTTAAAAATGACCTGTAAAGGGAAAAAAGATCATTTTTACTCATTTTTAAAAACAGTCCCTTGAAACACTGGGGGGTGGAGGGTGGGTTTCCGTACTGAAATGGTTTTACTTTCTCTTAAAGCACATTGTTATGTTATATGGTTGGTCAGGAATGCTAGGCTTCTAGTATTCTCTATAACGGTACGTAAGCTAACTTTTTTACAGGAACTCAAAGAATCTTTGCTCGTGTGGAGTCCATGAGAAAGTCCTTTCGTCCTCCATGCACTAACAAAATCACACTGGGTGAATTTTACATTTGAGAGAGAGAGTCAGGGGGTGAGATTTTTCAAAAGTGGTAGTAACTTTTGATACCTCATTTTTACCTACCTAGTTACTGACTTGTAAAGATAGTGCATTGAATCTTCTGTGAAAGGTTTCAGTTTAGGTGTTCTAGGTATATTGGGTTAGTGAACAATATTCCTTGTAAGCAGAACAGAAAAGGTCTAAAGCAGGGGTCGGCAGCCTTTCAGAAGTGGTGTGCCGAGTCTTCATTTATTCACTCTAATTTAAGGTTTCGCGTGCCAGTAATACATTTTAACGTTTTTAGAAGGTCTCTTTCTATAAATCTATAACATATAACTAAACTATTGTTGTATGTAAAGTAAATAAGGTTTTTAAAATGTTTAAGAAACTTCATTTAAAATTAAATTAAAATGCAGAGCCCCCCGGACTGGTGGCCGGGACCCGGGCAGTGTGAGTGCCACTGAAAATCAGCTTGTGTGCCGCCTTCGGCACCCGTGCCATAGGTTACCTACCCCTTGTCTAAAGTATGTTCAGGTCTCCAAAAATTGTGTAACTCATACTTTAAACTACACTCTCGAATAATTAATAATATGACTCTTCACTATAAAGTTACCACTCCTGTATAGCTATTGCTAATGTGCATGTTTTGTTTATTGCTAAAGGTAAAAAAATTTACTTTTTAAAAAGCTGCCTATGTAGATGCTGCAGAAGTAACCAACTATTGTGTTCCTCTGATTCATAATTCAGTATTTGAATTTGTGCATAAATTACAGCAATTTAAGATATCAGAAGAATCTGTACAAAACATAATTCAAGGGTTATCAAATAATATTTTCCTCTAGTTTCACTACTACATATGTTACCACTTACTCAAAGTTCATTGGGTTAAAATCTAAAACTTCATTGTTAATACAGTGTAGTATAAAAAGCAATAGAATAAACTGGAAAGTGTGTGTTTTTATCTTCTAGTATGTTGTTTTAACCCTTTGTGTTTGAAACTTTTCTACAGAGTACACCTGTGACACCAGTACCAACAGTGCAAGTACAGGGCCAGCAGATCAATTTGCAGCCTTCTTCATATCCAATACCAAGTCAACATGGCGAGCAAGTGAAAAAACCTGGACAGAACTTCATGTGTCTGTGGCAATCTTGTAAAAAGTAAATAGCTCTTTTATTTAACAACAGTTTACTCTAACATATTGCAGAAGCTCTTATTTGGAATATGATCTCTGAAATTATTATCTGTTCTCTTTCCTGAAGTGTGTCTACACTGTATCAGTCATCTGATGAGTGAAAAAAATATTAAAATTTCAAAAGAAGTTGGAGTTGAGGTGGAGGGAGTGCAGATTTGCAACTTCTCAATACCATTTTTCAAAGCAGCTAATGTATACATTGTGAATTGCTTTTTATCTAAAGTTACTTCAGTGAAGACTAAAATATTTGTATGTAATTATGTAAGTCACAATAACTGTATTCCCTAATTTTGAAGTTCTGCATTACAAATATAGGAACAGTTACTCTTTTCTTTTTATTCAGCCAGCTTTGAAACATTAAATGTGTTCCTTTCTCATATTTCCAGTTTTGCAAGGGGTGTGCACCTTTTATGTCCTAGCCAAACTCCTGTTTTAATTGAGTGCTTTGGGGATTCGGAAGCAATTAAATGAGACAAATCTCTGACTCAAGTTGCTTACACTCTAAAATAGACAACACAGCTAGGAATTGTTTTTAAAAAAATAAAACAAGAGTGAGGAAGAAGGGCATGCTTGGATGAGCATTACAGAAGTGTAAGAGCATAAGCAAATTGCTACACATGCTTCTTGACAGTTCTTTTTAAAATAATATATCAGATTTAGGGTCAATGTCTAGAGTAAATATGGGGTGAAAGCTGATGATTGAAAGATAATAGCAAAATGTAATGGTGATTTGGAAGGAAAGAAGAGAGGTTGCGTAACACGGGTTTGAAGGAACTGGCAGTGTCATGAGCGAAGATGTGAGAGCACACTTAGGAGGAGACAAAGGGAGCTGAACTGATTTGTCAGAATGTAGGGTACGCTCAGGGCAGTAGTATGCAACTAGGGGTGAGATATTAGCATGTGGAATTGGGATGACTCTGAAGGTGAAGATGAGGCATATGAATTTGATATGGAGGAAAGCTAGTTACTGTCTATCTACGAAAAATTTCTGTGGTGACTTCAGTTTGATATTAGCAAGACAAGGTGGGTGAGATAATATCTTTTATTGGATCAACTTCTGTTGGCGGAAGAGACAAGCTTTTGAACTTACATAGAGCTCTTCTTTGATGTGGTATTCTTAATTTTCTTCTCTAAGATGTCATAAAAATCCATTGAAATAAATGGAAAGACATCAAATGGGTTTTGGATCCGTCCTCTGAATAGTACTTTGTTCTTATGTGCAGTTAAATAACTGCCATGTTTCCACCTCAGAGGTGACTGTGTTTCATTGGTAGGTGATATAATTCTTGTACTTAAAAAGCTTGTGAAGGCCTTTGAGATCCTTTAGAATGACAGATACTATATAAATGTAAGATAATATTATGGACTATTATATAAAGATGAATTCAGACTATCTTAGAAATGTCTTCTCTTTTTTTTCTAACAATAAATGTATCTATGGAGCCATGCTCCTCTGATGATATCTTGAATGGCATCCAGGATCCTTATTAATTACTTGATTACCAAATACTTTATTTTTTAAAAAAGCTCTGCTATTCAGCCTGGGTTGCATATACTATGAGTACAGTATGCATTGATGAGTAATCCTTTGTTCCTTTTTTTACAATGGAGTTTGCAGGAGCCATACATCTACGAATTTGTTTCTCAAATATCTTCTTCATTCTGGTAGCTTTTCACTGTTAAAATTGACCTTTAGTGTCTACTTTGTTTAAATATATTTTGCTACATTTTCTGAAAAATGGTCTGTCTATATATTTAGTGTTAAGTTATCTGTGATTTATTTATTTTATTGCATAGATCTTTCTCGGTATCTTTGGTTTTTAGTATGAGTTTTCGGGTGTGGTCCTGCAGTTTCAAAAGGTCCTCTGAAGTACATTTGGAAGATGTAACCGATACTACTACTTTGAGTGGCTCTGCATCTTTACGCTTATGGGTACTGTGTCATCTTGTGGTGCCTTATGGTAGAACCTTGCTCCCAGCAGTGTCTGTTAGAGCATTCTCATACCCCCAACCCCTCCTCTTGGCATCTCCCGAAGTCCTGAGACAAAGATATATAAGGGACTGAGCACCCTTTACCACCCCAGTTCCTTCCAACCGCTTGCACGGACAGAAGTGTACCACTTCGGTATCTTCGGATCCAGAGTCTTTTCTCCTTGATGTTTGTTTGTTTGTTGGGGTTAGTTAGTTAGCTTAGTGTAGTTAGTTTGTTTGTTTTTTTTGTAAGTCAGGGTTATAGCGGAACTGAAGAAGAATTCAGGTTTTAAATGATGTGCATCATACCCAGATGTTTTCCCGGCGTCAAATGACCATGTGCGTCAGGTGCCTGGGAGAAGGCAACTTTTTCCTTCTGCATGTTCCATCTGTTGGACCTTTATACCCAGGGCCTGCAAGGATAGGCAGACTTCTCTACAGGTCCTGCCACTTAAGGAGGCCATTGAGGCCAGACTCTCAGGATCAGGATGTTTTTGGGATCCAGGGTCCAAGAGACCTCCAATTCCTTCCTTTCATTACATAAGGGCCCCAGTCCTCTTATTTTGGGGCCATTCAAAGGCACCAAAGTTACCACAGCCCCCTTCATATCAGTCCTCATAAGAGAAGGCATTTTAAGTTGTAGTCTAAATCCAAACGCCATCTCTGTGTTATCCTTCTCACAAAACACCAGACTGCAGATTTGATGGGACGTTCAAGAGTCAAGAACCATTCAGTCAGGACCTTTCTACCGTTTTGTTTGGAGACAGGCTAGCTCATTTTTATCGGCACTTGGAGATGAATTACATTGGATCAGTGGGTTATAGAAATGATAGAAAAGGGCTATGACGTACAATTTGAGAAACTACCCCCTAACAATTACACCCACCTCTCCCTTTTCAGGGACCATTCTCACAAGGATATTCTTCTTTTAGAAATAAATAATTGCTTCTGACAGGCAGTCAAAAAGGTGCCAGAACATCTCAGAGGTTAGGGGGTTTATTCACAGTATTTTCTGGTACAGAAGAAAGAAGGTTGGAGGGGTTCGTGTAGTCTTGAATTTAAGGAACCAAGTACGTTTGGAAATTTGGTTCCATATGTTAACCTCTGCCTCCATAATCCCTTCCCTTTCCTTTTAGATTTGTTCACGACTCTCAATTTAAAGTATGCATATTTTCACATTTCAGCAAGTCTCATTCATAGCAAAAACCTGGAATGTGTGGTGACAAGATGCCATTTCCAATACAAAGTGCTGCCATTTGCCCACTCAGCAGCACCCTGAGTATTTACAAAATGTCTCTCTCTGGTAGCTGCTCATCTGAGAAGGCAAGATAGTTTTGCTTACGTTTATTTGAATGATTACCTATAGAAGGCCACTGCATACAAGGACCCGTTAAGCAATATTGCCGTTACAACCAATCTATTGTTGGACCTGGGTCTTCTCATCAATACCTCAAAATCAAATCTATGCCAGACTCAGAAAATTCTGTTAATAGGTTCTATACTCGTGCAAGGGAGGGCCTTTGGACCAGAGGACTGGTTTCTGAGGTTGAGGTAGTGTATTTGCGATGCTCAGGAGTATCCATAATAAAATAATCTTTTTTTCTGGGTCTCATGGTGACAGCTACATATGTGACTCCTTTTGCCCATCTGAGAATGAGGCCTCTGCAGCACTGGATGTCTCACGTTTATTTTCAAGTCAGGAAAGTTTTCACTTGTAGGTCATTATACCTCCAAACATCTTACTTTCCTTGGAGTGGTGATTAATTAATATGAATGTCTTCAGAGACATTCTGATATCTGAATCATCTGGCTGTTCGAGGACATTGTCTCATCAGGAGAAGATTCTGCAAATCAATGTGTTGGAGTTGAGCCATTCATCTAGCCCTCAGATCATTCCTTTTTTGTGTGCAGGGAACAGTGGTGCAATTAGTAATGGGCAGTACTTCTGCAATGTGTTAGTCAACAAGCAGAGGAGAGCTCACTCTTCTCCTCTTTGTGCAGAAGCAATAAGGTTATAGGATTGTTGCATCCTCCACAGTGTGTTTCCATTGGCCCTGCATCTGGCAAGAGAGAGCAGTGTGACTGCAGACCATCTCAGCAGACACTGCCTCAGATGTGTGGGTGGTCTCTGAAGAAGCAGTTGGTTCGTGACATATTTGCTAGATGGGGTCAAACAGATGTGGACCTGTTTGCAACAAGGTTCAAAAGAAGTGTCACCTCTTCTGCTCCAGAGTTGGCAGGGATAGCCAATCTCTGTCAGATGTTTTGCTTTTTCCCTGTTCCATTGATCCAGCATGTGGTAAGGAAAATACATCAGGATAGGAAGAGGATGATTCTCGTCGTCTCAGCTTTGCTGTGCCAGCAATAGTATATCAATCTCCTCCAACTGTTCGGTGGAGTCTTCATGCATCTTCCTCTGTCGCCAGATCTGTGTCTCAGTAGGAGGGGAGGATTCTTCATCTGGACCTACAGTCCCTCCATCTGATGGCATGGGTGATTGGACTTTGACTCTATCTGATCTTCAGTAGTCTTGTTTCTTGGCTGTTCACAATATGCTGATTAATACTAGGAAGCAGTGAACCAGACAATGTTACAAGTCAAAGTGGCCCAGATTTGTGACTTGAATGACTGGCAAGGGAAGCTCTCCTGCTTCAATATCCATACTTTGTGTTCTGTAATATTTGATGTTTTTAAAGTCTGAAGGGTTATGTAATTCATCATTAAGGATTCATTTGGCAGCAATTTCTGCCTTTCATACTTGATGGTAGATCACTGTTTGTACATAATATTATTAAGATGTTTATGAAGGGCTTATCTAATATGTATCCTCCTTTGAGAGAGCCTGTCCCTTCTTGACATTTCAGTTTGGTTCTAGCCATGCTGATGAAACCACCCTTTGAACCTTTTGCTGAGTGTTCTTCACATTATTTTATCTATTAAAATGTCTTTAATTGTTGCTATAACATCTGCCAGAAAGATGAGTGAACAAAATGG